GCGAAACGTGCGAGGGGGGAGGGGCGCGGCTTCTTCCAGCTGGTGTGCCGCGACTCCCGAAGAAGAAGTCCAAGCCGAGCGGAGACTTAGTGGTTTGGACCGCCAACACGACTGCCTGGAAGTCCGCCCTTGCTTATGTTCGTCAACGGGCCGAGTACCGTCGGACCCGGATGCTTGCAGATCGGCCTGTGCCGTTGCTGCGTCTGCAGGAGCTCGGAGTGCACCCGGATGATCGGACCCAGTGCGAGAAGCAGCTGGGGGACCAGAAGTTTTTTGTTGCAGTGCAGGCTAGCCGAGTCACCGAGCTTGGCGGCCCGTCAGGAGGCGTTGGAGTGGGCGTGCCTCAGCACGTCGGCATGGGCGAAGGCCCGATGCCCAAGCAACCTCTTCCATCTCCTCATCGCCTCATCGTCAAGTGGGTCAACGCCCTGGTCCCAGGGGGCTTCTGGTTAGCACCCGTGCACCTACCAACCGAGGCCCCCTTCGGGCCCGAAGGGGCCCACCTGCTTGTGCGATTGGGCGAGATGTTCCACCTTATTCGGAGGCCCTTTATTGTTGGGGGGCGATTGGAATACGACACCCTCGGAACTTGCGCCCATGGGCTGGCCGAGTCGGGTTCGGGCTCGGATTGTTGCGCCACGTGAGGTCACGTGTCGGTCAGGCAAGGGGCGTATCTTGGACTACTTTGTCGTCTCGGATGTCCTCATGCCGTCCGTCAAGGGGTGCTCCGTGGCGGTCAACTCTTTCCTGGCCCCGCACAGGCCCGTGGGGCTCCGTCTTGCTGCCCGTGCTGTGCCGACAAATTCTGGTCCATGCTGGCCCTCGCAAGCTTCCGCAGGAGATCCCAATTGGCCCCTATCCTGCCCCGCCAGATTGGTCTGGTGTCTTGGGGGCTCTCGAGAAGCAGGGGGACCAGCGCAGCTTGAACCAGGCCTTTGGGAAGTTTGTCGGGCGCATGGAGGATGAGCTCATCGGGGTCCACGGGATTCCAGAGGAGCAGCAGGATAGGTTTCGAGGAAGGGGCTCAGGCTGGAAGTACAGGCGTCTCCCTGGATTCGCTCCAACGCCAGGCCCGCACCCCGTTGCTAGCCAGGAGGCGTTGGGCTGGAGACGAGTGGCCAATTGGCTCCGCGAGCTCGGCCACATCCAGTCCCAGGGCGTGCGCAGGAGGCCTCTCTTGCTCGCCTCCCTTCTCGCTAAGATCAGCACGGGGCCAAAGGCGATCAGAGACTCTCCAGCCTGGGCCGCTTTTTCTCTCTCCGCCGCAGATTGGAGCAGCATGTCATCCGTCGGCCTCTTTGACTTTGCCAACCTCACAAAGAAGGAGGCCACCCGTTGCGAGAAGGAGTTCACTTGCCGTCGGTCCGCTGAGTGGCGCCTGTACGTGAAGGAGGCAGTCGCCAACGGTGGCGGCAAGGCCCACAGGTTCACCCGCCTTCCTGTGGGCTGGAGGCCTATCCAGGCCAAGCGTGGCGAGCCCCCCCCCCCCCCAGGCCCAGAGGAGGAGCTGGAGCACGTTCTCAAGGATTGGGAGGAGGTCTGGTCACGCCCCGAGGCCGACGAGGACCCAGAGGCATGTATGCGTGAGCTGTCGTCGTTCCTGGAGTCCCAGAGGTGTCCTGTGCTGCAGCACGAGCCCGAGTTCATTCGTAAGGTTGCGCGGAAGATCAAGGGCTGGACGTCGCACGGGGTCGATCGCCTGGGCCCCAGGGATTTCTGCGCGGCCTCGGACAAGTGCCCCGAGGCTCTCAACTTGCCGTGGAACTGGATGTTGGCCCTGGGAGCGTTGCCCGCGCAGATCGGCCTCACCCTCATGCCCTCCCTCCCGATGCCCGAAGGGGACACGCGGCTCATAGGGCTGCTCAGCATGGTGGTGCGTGTCTGGGCCAGTTGTTCCAGGGAGGTGGTCCGTCTTTGGGAAGCTGAACATTTTCGGAGCTACACCTACGGGGCCAGGGGCAAGTCTTGCGAAAGGGCCGTCTGGGAGCAGTCGTTCGCCAGCGAGAATGCCGCGCTGACGGAGAGGTTCGCGACAAACTCCTTTTTGGATTTGGTTAAGGCCTACGAGAAGGTTCAACACAGGGACCTGGTTAGCCGGCCAAGACACATGGGTTTCCGCTTTTTCACCTTCGGTTGCGTCTGAAAGTGCATCGTGCACCGCGGAGTCTCCTGCTAGGTACGCGAGTGTCGCGCCCTGTAAGGATCCTGTCCACCACCATCGTTGGTTGCGGCTTCGCCACCACTCTTCTCCAGGTGATGATGCTGGATGTTCTCGATTTGTGTGCCAGGTGGTTCCCTCGCACCCGTCTGCTTAACGTGGTGGACGACATTACGGCTCAGACGATCGGCACGGCAGCTCTGGTGGTCAAGGAAGGTCTGGAGGTCACCCTCACGCTGTGCCGCATGCTCGAGGCCCGCAGGCTCATCATCTCCACGACCAAGGGCCGCGTGACGGCCACCACGTCGGACATCGCCGACACGATTGTTGCAGGTTTAAAAAAGTAGCATTTTCGGTCTTCGCATCATGTGAAGAACCTGGGTACTGACTACACGCAAGGGGACCGTCGTCGGGTTCAGGTCCAGGCTGGCCGCGCATGTAAGGTAGGCTCACAATGATCTCCAAAGTGGGCGCCCTCCCAGCAGGCACGCATGGGGTCAGCGTGGTTGGGATCTCCAACAGGCTCCTCTCGAGGCTTAGGTGTGCGGTCGCCCAGGGGCTCTTTGGACCTGCTGGAGGCCGCTCTCGAACTATTCAGTTCTGGCTGTCGCCTGCGCCCGAAGCCGACCCTGCCTTTCGTGGGCAACTCCCTGCCGCTCCTCGCATGGAGGAAAGCCTTTTGGCAGGGATGGGCGTCTAGGGAGGCGACGCGCTCAACGTTCGATTTACTTTTGGAGCGCTTCCGCGCAAATGAATTCACGTGGTCTGCGGTGAAGGGACCTACGGGAGCTGTGATCATGACGCTTCGGAGGCTCAGGTGGGTCCCCCAGAGCTTCTGCGTCTGGTCTCCTCCCTCGGGCCTGTCTTTAGACCTCGAAAAGGTCCGAAAGGTTTCTTTGCGGACTTTCGTCGACCGTGGCACCAAAGATCAGTTGTCTGGGCAGTTGCGGTGGAGCCATCAGGGCCAGGAGGTCTCTCATCCCCAGCTCGACGCAGCGAGCGAGGCGCGCGCTTCTCTGCGTCGCAGAGGGGACTGTCTCCAGGCCAGCCCCCTTGCCACACACGTTGCAGGAGGCCTTGTCACCCAGTCTGTTCTGTATCAAGACCGTCGGGTTATCGACCAGAGGTGCCAGCTGTGTCTTGGAGCCCGCGGGACCTCACAGCACCGCCTCTTCGTCTGCGATGGGATGCACGAGTGCCGCAGCAAGCTCGGTTTTGATGAGGAGCTGCGGGGTTGGAGGAGTGTGGAGGATGAGGACCCTTGCCTCTCCCGCTGCCTCCTCCCTGCCCCCATCAGGTTCACCCTCGCCTCCAGATCACAGGTGCCTGGAGGTGGGACGTCTGCCCACCAGGAGGCGAAGTGCTAGGCCGTGTGTGTTCCGATGGGTCTGCTCTTTTGCCTGACCTCCCTCTCTTCACGGTCGCTGCCTGGGCGGTTGTGATGCTGGACGGAGGGGAAATGTTCTAGGCTCGGCCAGCGGTCCTCTCCCGCACGCGCTGCATTCAATTTATGGCGCTGAGGTGTTCGCCATCCTCATGGCTCTCCGCCTCTCGGGCCCAGGCGATGTTGAGCTTGGTTGCGATTCCTTGTCCGCTGTCTTGACCTGGGACCGAGGGGCGGAAGCTGATGTCTCTAACCTGCCCTTTGCGGAGCTTTGGGGAGAAATTAACTTCAGGCGGAGGGGCCGTGGCGATTCGTTTCGAGTTTTCCATGTTCCCGCCCATAAGACCTGGCCCAAGGCTCTTTCCATGGGTGTGCCGTTTTGGGCTTGGAAAGGGAACCGAGTTGCGGATCTTGCTGCCGAGAGAGCAGCCAGTGACATTCCCATTCCAGTGGCCCTCCGCGACCAGTTCGTTGAGCAAGGCAGCGCCTGCAGGTTCTTGGCCGCTTCACAGGAGCCATGCTCGAGGTTGCTGGCAGGCCCAAGTTTCGTGATGTTTCTAAGGTTGTGGCCAAGAAGCCCCGCCCCCCAGGGACCCAGCTCATCCTCTGCCCCGACCCCAATGGGCACGTCTTGGGGCGGTGGGGGAAGGGGTGGCTGTGTGCGATTTGTCTCGACCGAGGGCGGAGCTGGACTCACCTGGCCAGCTTCAAGTGTTCTGGTTCGCCCAGGATTCGTCGCCAAGCTCACCGCTCGCATCGGTTGTGGGGAGGTGATCCTGGCGCTGCCCTCCCGATCATTTGGTGTTCCAGGTGCGGCAGATATGCCACAGGCACCGAATGAATTTGTTGGCGGAAGTGTGTTTTGGGAGGCCCCGAAATGACGCTACAGGTAAGTCTCTTGAGATGCTGCGGCGGGGCGTGGACCCCACCACTCGTGCGAGTTTCGGCCGCAGCGTCCCACTTTGGATCGAGAGAGGGGTTGGCCGCCTGGCGGAGGCGACACCCCCATCCTCGTCCGAGGTTTCGTGTCATGAGGGGCCCCCGCAGAGCCTCACCGAGGCGATGGTCCCCCTGCCAGGGCCACCACTGAAGGATGACTTCGGGTCCCCTCAGCGGCGGCCCAGGCAGGGGGGGGCACCGCCTCGGTCAGGGTCCTTCCCTTTTTCTCTTCCCCCCCCCCTGGTCTGGCCTAGGTTCTGCGCCGCCTCGGCACCGCGGATCCTCGGCTGATGGAGAAACTGGAGAAACTGGAGAAACAGGAGGAGGAGGAGGAGGAGGAGGAGGAGGAGGAGGGCGAGGGGGAGGAGGGGGAGGAGGAGGGAGGAGGAGGAGGAGGAGGAGGAGGAGGAGGGAGGAGGGAGGAGGAGGGGGAGGAGGAGGAGAGGAGGAGGGAGGAGGAGGAGGAGGAGGAGGAGGAGGAGGAGGTCTCGCTCCCCCGCTCCGGCGCCCAAACAAGAGGATGCCATCGAGAATCTGACGAAGGCAGTCAACCTGGGCTGGCGCCCCCGCCCGGCCGGCTGGGCGCGCGGAGGAGCAGCAGCCAAACGGAGGCGACTTTTCAATACGGCGGCGGCATCGGATAAGGAACCCCTTCCTGGGGCCCAGGCCCTGGCGCATTCCTTATCGTTTCAAGGCGAGGTGGGTGGCCCACGTTTGGCCGCCCATCGGTCGTGAGACCCTGGGTTCCTTGTCGAAGGTATCCTCATCTTGAACCTCCACCGTATGCGCGGGTTTCTTCGATTTCGGCCTGGGGCCAGATCCTGGGCCCCTAGACCATCAGAAATGGATCTGGGACGAAAGTTCACCCACGGGGAAGTGGTCCGGGGTTCTGGCGGGAGGGGGAGGGAGAAAGACAGGGGCGACCCTGAGATCTTGGAGTTTCAATTTGTTCCAGCCAGTCGTTTGCGCCCAGCTTCGGACCCCAGGACCCTCACGGATCGATCCGGCTCGAAAAAATGGCACAGAAAAACGGATCGGGGGTTGCTAAACGAGCCCCTGGCCCCAGGTACCCCCAGTTTTTCGCTCAATTTTGGCGCGGGGCCCTCTGGGCCTCGTGAGGGTTGCGCTGGAGGCGGCGGGGGCCTCCTTGGAAATCCCAGGGGCACCCTGGGTCAGGGGCACTTCTGGCAACACCGGACGGCGTCCAGGTCCCCAGCCGTATTTTTGTTGCGATGCTGCCATTTGTTTCCCCGCCGCGTCGGAAATCTCAGGGCAGAGGAGCAGGAGAAAGACGAGGTCGAGGACGAGCGGGGGAGAGCTCGAGGTCGACTCCAGAACTGATGTACCCCAAAGTTGATTTGTTCGTCGAATCTATGCATGTCGAATCCTTCGTAGATGTACGGGACATTCTCATATACAAATACATATGTGTATATATATATATATTTGTTTATATGTCTTGGCAGTGGGTTCGACGGAAAATCAGTTTTGGGGTAAGTCCATTGTGTACTCGATCTCCTGGGCCCAGGGAAGGTCGCACGGAGCCTGACACCTGTTGGCTGCAAGGTTCGTCCGAACGTAGCCCCCCCCCCCTCAGGGCAGGTCGGCCCTGCGGAGGGTTGATCAAACTGGGGCCAGGTAGCCCCTGGAGCACCGCTCCGAGGGTCACCGGCGGTGCAGGCAAGAAGTGGAATGGGCGACAGGCAGACAGGTGAGGAGAGGGAGGGAGGAGAGACGAAAGGAGGTCATCACGATAGCGCAGGAGGGGCGCGGACGGTCGCACGGAGCCTCCGGCTGCAGAATTGACTGACCCACGACTTGCTCAATTCCGTCGAATCTGCAAGACATGCGCAGAAGGCTCCGTAGATCTGCGGAACGTTCTGCGCACGTGTGGTAGATTCGACGAAAAAACAGTTTGGGGTCAGTAAAAATGTAGTCGATCCCCTACTCGAATTGTCCAGTTTACACGTCCGCCTCGCCGGATTAGGGACGACGTTCGCGTGGCGGTTTTCGGGCGAGAATGCGATATGAGTCCAACGTAAGTCCGCCGTGGATCTGACGTAACCCTCCCTCGTCCCGCCGCTGGGATATCCCCGTCCTGTGTGCCTACGGAGTGTCTGGGCCCGCCCGCGTGCGAATGCGCCCAGGCAGTTGGCACGAGGAGGGGCGAGGGAGAGCGCGGGCGGCGGCGGGCACCTAGACATCCGACGCCGTGGTCTGTTTGCAGCGCGGCTTCCCAGAGGTCTGGGCGCTCACCGGCTTTTTTGTTGTTCGACGGCATTGAAGTCGATTGTATGTGGACCTACGGCTCGTTTGGCGGACCAGACCACGAGTGCTAAGACTGTGGGACACCTTGCGCACGGCACCGCAGCCCTGTACACGATGCTCGTCGCTGCAGCGGCTACCGCACGACACCTGATGGCCTAACGCTGCACGGTGCTGCTCTGTTGGGGCAGTCAAGCGTGCACACTCGGTGGCGGATCACGGTGGGCCCCGTATCCCCCCCCTCGGGATTTGGGTTCTCCCGAGTCGTTTCTGGACGGTCCTTGAGCCCGGTGAGGGCCCCCAGAAGCCGAAAGTTGCCAGAAGCCTCCCCCCGCCAACTGTTCGCTACGAGGGGGGGAAGGGGGGGAGGCAGGGGGAGGAGGAGAGGAGGAGGAGGAGGAGGAGGAGGAGGAGGAGGAGGAGGAGGAGGAGGAGGAGGAGGAGGAGGAGGAGGGAGGGGCGGAGGGGGCGCGGGCGGAGGCCGGCAGGCCCTCTCTGGCCACGGGGGCCCCCCGCCCGGCGGGCCCGTGCAGCCCCCGCCGCCCAGCGCGGACGCGGCCGTGTTCAGCGAGCGGGGCCTCGCCTGGCGGGCGCTCGGCAACATGGCGCAGGCGTCCGGGCGGCCGCAGTCTCCTGGCCACGCGCAGAAGGGGGTAGGGGGAGGGGGGAAGGCTTCTTAGAAGCACCCCTGCTTCTTAGAAGGCGCGGGCCTTCTTTGTAGATGCAAGGCCGGCGCCTTCTAAGAAGCAGCCTCCTTCTAAGAAGCCTTCCCCCCTCCCCCTACCCCCTTGTGCGCGCCGCCAAGTCTCCCAGAGGGAGGCGGGCCAGACACCGATCTCCGGCGGCATGAATTTCTCTCGATCCGGGCGTTATCTCTCGATCTCACCTTCTGGGGCCCGTTCTCGGTCCTCTGGGCCATCGAGAACGGATCCGGGACGCCAGGACCACCACGAGGGCGCGAAGTTAGTCGCGCTGCGCAGCCTGGGCGATGTCAGAGCGAGGCGCGAGGCCCTCGGCCTGTTCCAGAGGGGGCGGCGCGAAAGCGCGAAGACAATCGCGCTTCGCGGTGCGCGAAGCGCGAAGACAGTTGCCCCAGGTACGAAGATTTACTCTCAGGGAAGCAGTCGGAACTTCTGGGGCCGCGGATTCAGAACATCACATCGCCGAATGTCCGGGGAAGGGGGCGCGGACCCCCAGAGTGCCTCGCACCGCGAAGAAGTCACATCGGAAGGTTCTTAGCGGTTTTCGGCGTCCAGGGACCCTCACCGGGCCCTGGATCGAGGAAGGAAACTGTTCTGGAGGTTGACAAGGAGTGCGGTAGAAAGGGGTGTGGCGCTAATGCTGGAAAAGGTGATGTGATCTACGATTGCCGCAAGTGCGTTGCATCAGATTTCGGCAGCGTTCGCTTTGCGCCGACCACCTCAAGCAACGCTGGAATTCGTGATTCCAACTGCCCCGAACGACCGCAGTTCTAGGCGAACAGCAGCACAAACGCCTGTTCCAGGACGCCTGATCACCAAGCACGCAATTCCGGAAATTCCGAATCGCGAAAAGCGTGATTCCGGAATTTACGCATCGCCAAAAAGTAGTTATGGAAGCTCTGGTTCAAGACAAACCATATGCCGAAAATTCCGAAACGACGTTCCGGAAATTCCGGGATCACCCATATGAATTTCGTAAATTCCAAAGTCTCCGAAATCGCGTGCATGGTGATACGGCGTCATGCAATGGGCATGTGTGTCGCCGTTCAGATTGGATGGCGGTCGCTCGGGGAGTTGGATTGATGCATCATGATGCTATTCGAAGCGGTCGACGTAAAACCAGCATTGCTGAAGTCGGAATGCAAAGCCCTTGTGGTCATCGTGAACAACGTCGTTATTATCGGCATTACTATCGTCGTTGAAATCGTTGTTTGCGTAGTCATTATGGCTTGAACTCTTTTAGCCGAGCGCTCACAGACCCCCAGGCTGTCCACGAGAACGAATACCAGAACGAAGAATTCCAAACATCATATCAACCGATCTGATGTCTCGGAGTCGCGACCGCTCTCGTGGATTCGCGTAGTGGCTCTGCGCGACGGCACCGCCGCTACGACGGAGTCGATGTCTTTGATTTGATCGAGCAGTTGCCAAGAAAAGGTGTTTAGATAGAGCGTGGGTCCGATTTCCGGGGGTGGACAGAGCCCCCACCCTGACACGTCGATTCGTGAATTGTCCGTGTTCGGTTCTCGAGAGGGCGCCGCGGCCGCTGTTTTCAAGGCTTGCGCCCGCCGTTTGGGCCCGAGGTCGTTTTCACTAAGCCACGTTTTACTAAAGGGAGGTCTGTCCATCCCCGATGAGCGACTTTCCAAGGAGCACCCTTGCATCCTTCTCCTTCGGCCCATCCTTGGCCGCTCTCGCTGGCCGCGCCCCGCCCGCAAAGTGTCGACATGGCCGTCCAAGGTCCCATGCATCCTCATCGTGCGTTCTGATGATGCTTACCAGCCTCGAACGTATCCCTATCCCTAAGATTGACACGCCACGTTTTACCAAAGGGAGGTCTGTCCATCCCCGAGACTTGCGTCGACCAGCACCTGCCGGCGACGGCAGGCGCAGACGGAGCAGCTCTCTTTGGGTGCGGTCGTGGAGGAGAGCTCGGCCCGCGCCCGCCGTCGGCGGCTGGAGCTGCAGCTTCCGAGGGACCTCCGCCGAAGCGGCTTCTCTCCTCCTCCTCCTCCTCCTCCTCCTCCTCCTCCTCCTCCTCCTCCTCCTCCTCCTCCTACCTCCCTCCTCCCTCCTCTCCTCCTCCTCCTCCTCCTCCTCCTCCTCCTCCTCCTCCTCCTCCTCCTCCAGGACCCCAGGTAAGGGGACCCGGTTAGTGGCGGGCCCCCGGAGCCTTTCCATGGGCCAGAATCATTGAACCATGTTTGCCGTAGCTGGTGCTTTCTCGGGTGACGGCAGTTCCTCTTAGTGGAACGGGGCGGGGGGGCGCCCCCCCGTACACATCACTAAACCAGGCCCCACTAAACCCAGTTCTGCCAATGCCCGAGAAGCACGACACAGCAATGAAGGACATGGTGGTAAGTTGTCAAGCACGGTTGATGTCTGTGCATGAAGCCCACGCTGCTTCCAACAGAAGCTGCGAGGAGCAGTTGGCAACATGGGGAGCTGCAGGTACAGCCAGGCAAATCGCATCAGGCAGCGACGACGATGCGGACATGGCAGGCGTGGGAGAAGCAGTCGACAGCACAAAGAACATAGTCATAGATAAGAGGATCAAGTCCCAGATGAACGCTGCCATGGCCAGCTTTGCCAAAACAGACTTCAACTTTTTGAGGACAAAGGCAAGGTCAGTCAAGCTCAAAGCACAGGTGGATGAGTTGAGAAACCCAAAAATACCAGCATGGCTGCAAAAGCTCAAATGTGGTTGGACACATCCGGAAATCGACGAGCCCATGCATGAGCAGGAGGCATTGTTGCACATCATAATTCGATATCGTTCTTCGCGGAGAGCGGCGAAAGAACAATTGTTCATGCAGAACTTGGTTCACTCTGTGTCAACGGAACATGATTTCAGTCAGAAGCTGCATGTAAAGTGTCATGAAGAAACCAGACGCGAACGTCTTTCAGATTTAGCGAAAGGCCCTCTGAGCAAAATGAACGAGACAGTCCAGGGACTTGCGTTGGACATTCCACAGGGCATGTTTCTTGATGCACCCGCGTCGCGATTTGCAGTCAACGAGCTTTACAACCGTATGTCGCCTAAGATACACCACCAAAGGCAAACATCGGAAGAGAAGAAGACAAAGGACCAGTCCTAACGATAATCGATATGTGAAGCGTTCGCGAAGATGAATCCAGAAGAAAGATTATGTTTGGCCGTTCCCCAGATAGTGGCAGAGAGCAACGGCAAAGCCAAAGGCAAGGAAGGCAAAGCAAAAGGCAAAGGGTGCAAAGGCAAAGGTTTCGATTATGTACGTGTCTATGTGAAGGTAGAGCCTTACATGGATGAAGATAACCAAAAAATATGTATCATTATCTTCCTCTGACGCCCCCTGGATGGAATCAGCAGCCAGCGAAAAATCAAGCTCCGCCGATTTTCGAAAAGTGAGATAAGAGATAAGATCGCGCTTCAAACAACGACTTGGCCCCTGCTGCCAAGACGCCCCGCCGTCGGCAGGGTGGCAAAACTAGAGGCCGGGGCAAAGGCGAAAGCAAGGATCGCGCAAGTAGTCCAAGTGGTAGTAGTAGTGGCAGTAGAACTAATAGTAGTAGTAGTACTACTACTACTACTACTACTACTACTACTACTACTACTACTATTCTTACTACTAGTACTACTACTACTACTACTACTACTACTACTACTACTACTAGTGGTGGTAGTGGTAGTGGTAGTGGTAGTGGTAGTGGTAGTAGTAGTAGTAGTAGTAGTAGTAGTAGTAGTAGTAGTAGTAGTAGTAGTAGCAGTAGTAGTAGTACTAGTACTACTACTAGTACTAGTACTAGTGGTACTAGTAGTACTAGTAGTACTAGTAGTACTAGTAGTAGTAGCAGCAGCCGTAGTAGTAGTAGTAGTAGTAGTAGCAGTACAATTAGTAGTGGTAGTAGTGGTAGCACGAGTAGTAGTGTTAGAACGAGAAGTAGTAGAAGTAGTAGTAGTAGTAGTAGTAGTACTCGATGTAGTAGTAGTAGTAGTAGTAGTAGTAGTAGTAGTAGTAGTAGTAGTAGTAGTAGTAGTAGTAGTAGTTGTAGTTGTAGTAGTAGTAGTAGTAGTAGTAGTGGTGGTAGTGGTAGTAGTAGTAATAGTAGTCGCAGTTGTAGTATTAGAACTATTACTAGCACTAGTACTAGTAGTGGTGGTAGTAGTGGTAGTACTGGTGGTGGTAGAAAAGGTAGTAGTAGTAGTGGTCGTCGTAAGTCGTAGTCGTGGTAGTAGGAGTAGTAGTAGTAGTCGTAGTAGCTGCGTGTGCATCAATATGTGTAGTCGTAGTAGTAGCAGTATTTGTAATAGTAGTTGTAGTAGTAGTAGTAGTGGTAGTAGTAGTAGTAGTAGTAGTAGAACGAGTAGTAGTTGTAGTACTAGTAGTAGTAGCAGTAGTAGTAGTAGTAAGAGTAGTAGTTAATGTAAGCGTAGTACTAGTAAGAGTAGTAATAATCACCATAGTAGTAGTAGTAGTAGTAGTAGTAGTAGTAGTAGTAGTAGTAGTAGTAGTGGTGGTGGTGGTAGTAGCAGTAGTAGCGTCGGCAGTAGCTTTTATATTAGTGGTAGTGGCAGTAGTAATAGTAGTAGTAGTAGTAGTAGTAGTAGTAGTAGTAGTAGTTGTAACACTCGCCGTAGTAGTAGTTGTGGTTGTCGTGGTAGTGGTAGTGGCAGTATTAGCAGTAATGGTATTAGCAGCAGTAGTTGTAGTAGGAGTAGTAGTTGCAGTCGTAGTAAAAGTTGTAGTAGTGGTAGTAGTAGCACGGGTAGTAGTGTTAGTTCGAGTAGCAGTAGTAGTAGTAGTAGTAGCAGTAGTAGTAGTAGTAGTAGTAGAGGTAGTGGTAGTGGCAGTGTAGTAGAAGCACGAGTAGTACTAATAGTAGTAATCGTAGTAGTAGCAGTCGTACTAGTAGGAGTAGCTGTGAGGGTA